TCTATGTATTTGTCGTATCCTATTCTTTTCTATCCACTTCATGGATAAATTGATGTCCTCATTCTACAGCGGACTCTTTTAAACTTACACTATCAATTGGTATCTCCTATATGATTTAGGGGAATGTCCCTGCCCAAAGTTTCGGAAGTGGTTATCCGAAAGCGCAAGAGTATAGCTGAGGTCAAAGCCAAGCGGTCTGTTCAGGTCAAAAACCAGGTATGTATCTCCAAATTTTGTGTAGCTCTATAAATTATATATCATTTGGTATTGATCATCAAGTCCTGTGCAGTTCTGTACATCATATCATTCGTTTGCTTCTTCATTCATACCCACACCCCGTCTTGTCGTGCCGCACACCTGATCTCTCACATGGCAAGCGGTAAAGCGTCTTTGATCTATGATTGGGTGATGTGAGTCTATATCTTACTGAATATCACGTGGAGATAACGCACACAATCGGTCACTAACGTAGACTGTTAGAAACAGTACATGTGCCTGTAACGTTATGTGGCGGCAGCATGTTCAATGCTTCCTGGTTATAATCCAAACGAGCGCGTTGTGCATCAGCCAGTGTTTGGAGCAGTTCCGATGTGGCGAGTACTACGCTACAAATGTATACGATCCATTAGGCTGGGTTCTATAAAACTGAATATGTACTACTGCTGAGTAAGTTTGTGCCCCATCACAATCAGTTTATCAGCGCAGCTAAGTGCTGTCTTGGCTATGACATCTCATACAGCGTGCCTGTTAAGGTGTTGGTCCGATGTTCAATCGTGCTATTCTGTTTCTAACTATCTATCCGTCTCTACGATCCGCAGCAAGTCAAGGCTAAGCAGGCAAAGGGCCGAAAGAAGAACTTCAAACGCATTGAAGAGTTTGTGATCCAGAACCGAGCCAAAAACGAGGACTCCAAACGTCTGGAGAAGATCGTGAAGAAGGCTAAAAGTGCCAAGGTCAACCTTAGCAAGAAAGCGATTGCCAAGGCTGCCGAGCCCAAAGAGAAGTATGTAGCCACAGGCCTACCGGTAGTGTTTGCCGTGCGGCTGCTGCCTATGAACGGTACCTGTGCCGAAACTCGCAAGGCGCTGCTACGCCTGAGACTGTGGGGACTAAATACTGGCGCGTTTGTACGTCTGGACGAGAGAAACCAGAAGCTGTTGAATAAGGTATCCCCGTATGTAGCCTGGGGTACACCCACCAACAAGACCATCCGAGAGCTGGTAGTGAAGCGAGGCACGGGAAGGATTGAAGGCAAACGCGTGCCTATCACAGATAATGCGCTGATTGAGAAGGAGTTGGGCGACAAGAACATCATCTGTTTAGACGATATCATCCATGAGATATCCACCAGTGGCGACCACTTCAACGACGCTAACAACTTCCTGTGGCCGTTTAAGCTGGCCAAGCCTGCTGAGGTGAAGCGAGCGGTTAAGGTCAAGAACCCGAAGACGCTCAACGTGGGTGGTGATAAGGGCGATGAGATCAATACCCTAATTGGAGCCATCAACTAGGCAGCATACTCGATATTTTATATATATACCTATATATATATATATACATATATTCATCTAATTTTTCTTGGTCGAGATTGATGCTCTAGCTTGGTGGGGGATCTACCGGTATAAAGATTTTGCTCCTGTCCCGATATATAGAGATAGCATCGATCGGGACATGTTTGGTAGTTTGGTAAATGTATCTCTAGGCACCCGCCGTCCCCAACATATATAATTCACCGATGTGATCGGTGATTTGTACATATTCCTATTTTATTCAAAGTAAAACTTCTGTAAACGTACCTTTTGCCTTAAAGTTTTGCATAGCATATCAAACGTGCTACGCTTATCCTAAATTCATTGCTGAGAGGACAACCTTACATCCTTCTCTTCGTGTTTATATGACTTTATATGCACATTAGCCATATTATGAACGGCTTTCTACACCTATAGCAAACAAAGTATGGTGGTCAGCCATCCTGAGCAAACCACACGCACACACCATCGACCACCGCAATTCCGGTTGTCCTACTGCGTAAATGATTATCAAATAGCTGTATTGTAATGTATCCGACAACTAAATGCTTACATTTGATTTTAACGCAGACAATCCTGCCCTCTTCTTTCACTTAAAGACCTACGTACGTACAAAGGTTTACATGGATGCGGCCAGTAAATAGGGTTCTTATATACATACATACATACATACATACATATATATAT